TCCTCATCCAGGAAAGGTGCCTGTCAAGTAAGCCAAACTGCTGGGATCTGTCCAACTTTTGGGAAGGATGCAGGAAGGCAGGGTTATGGGCAGAGGCAAATCTTGTGTTCTGGCTTCCCTTGGGTGCTTGGGACCCTTCAGCAGTGCCTGCCAGCACTTAGGAACTTTATGCAGTTTTCCCCATTTTCTGCCACACTGGCCACCATCAGATGGTCTCAGCATTCCATGAAGGAGCCAAGTGTCTAACTGGCACTATGGATATTTAAGATGAAACATACCGCTAATCAGAACTAAAGATAATCTCTTCCCTCAGTCATATCTGGGCTGGCTTTTCATGGGAACAGGTAATCTATCACTATTGTTCATTAGGAGCTGTAAAATGGTGTGTGTTGTGGTGGTACTGAGATGGTTGGTGTGAAGGTGGCATTTGTTTGCTGCTTCATCCTGAAACATCACTCACCACTGTCAGAATGAAGATGTTACTAGAAAGCCTCAGCAGATGTTATTGCATTATCCAGCAGAAGAGATGCCATTAGGCATTTTGGCTGGAGGGAAATTATTCTTCAGAACTTCTTTCCAGTCCCACATTGGTTAATAATTCATGCCAGTTATTTAGTTGATCTTAATCTAAGGATCACAAGGCACAGCTAGGCCTTGTGATTCTCGATTTTTCTCAATTCTCAAAACTCTCAAAGCCACAGGACAAATTATTGATAGATCAAGGAAAAGCAATGGAAAGAATCCAGGCGCACAGTCTAGCAAATGTGAGTATGCTTAATTTCCAGACTGCTCGTTATAATTGCTTGTGTCTCCCTATAGAAGTAGATCTTTATGGAAAAGGTTACCTGAATAGGCCAGGACTGGGTAGTTTCTCTAGGGAAAAAAAAACCCTCAAAAACAAACAACCAAACCAATTGCCCCACCTCCCCCTTCTAATTAGCTTTGGATAAAATATTTTATTTATGTTTAAATTTCCCACAAATAGCATCAAATACATTATCAGTGACTGCAAGGGCAACTGTGATACTAGCATTTTCTACAGAGGCATTCCTAGAGGAAGCTGTTCAAACAATTCATACTAAGCTCCAATGACTCCAATTGTAGGCGACTTACTTACCCAATACATATGTGTGTATCTGTAATCTAGAAATATACTTAAATTGCTATTGAAAGTGAATGAAAAAGAATTCCTAAACCTAATATACTGTTTTGGTGGTAAGATAAATGATATCAAATTGTTATGGTCTTATATGAAAGAGTATAGAGTTATTTCATCCGGGCCCTTAGTTTTCTGATTGCTTTGAAAGAGTCGCTGCTAGCATGGAGTGATTTCACTGTATTTCTCAGCATGTGGCAGTCATGTTAGTGCAATTAAACACACATTTACTCATGCATGCCCAGCGCAGGCACTACCAGCCGCTTCACTAAAGTCACTTTTAGCCATATTTATATGCAGCCCTGGGTAGCTCAGTAGCTCTCAGCTCTCTCTCACTGCTGTTTATACACACACCCAGGAGATTTACCGAAGAGCTGGGGGTTGCTTGCGGCTGCCTTTGAAGCAGAACGGGCCGCGCTGGAGAGGAGCCGGAGGAGCCCAGGCAGCCTCCTGGTGGCAGCACGGTCCCACGGACCGAGCACGCCCACCCTGCCCGCCACGAAGGGGAAGCGGTCACCCGCAGGGAAAGAAAAGAGAAAAAACCCAAAAAACCGAAGAAACCCAAACCAAACAACAACAACAACAACAAAAAAAATCACAAAAACCCCAAACAAAACCAAAAAAACAACCCCAACCAAACAGCCCCCTCCCCCCCACCAAGAAAAAGTGGAAAATAAAGAAGAAAGAAAAGAGATGAGGAAAGAGATAAAAGAGGGGAAAAAAGAAAAAGAGAGAATAAGACAGAAAAATAGCATAAAAAAGAAAAAAAAGGAAGTTAGGGAAAACAAGGGAAACAGGAAGAAAGAGGAGAAAAGAAGGGGAAAGAAAAGAGAAATGAGAAAGCAAAGCAAAGAGAAAAAAAGGAAAATACATAAAAGGAAAAAATGCAAATAAAAATGAGAAGATGAAAAGATAAAAAATATATAGGCTTGTTAGTATGACAGGTTAAGATTTGGAAATGTACTTTATCTAGAGAATATTAGGTGACACGTTTCTAGGAAAGTAAAAATGAATTTAATTATTACTTTAAACTTCTGGGGACCTTTAAACAATTCAAAAGTATTAGATATTTGTTGACATTTTGATGTAAATTTTACTACATGCAATGTAAAGATGAAAACATTTTGTATGGTTTATGTTCTCTGTATTTGAATATACTCCTGTATTTGAATATTTCCCCTGTACATAAATTCCTTTAGTAAATAGGATTTAACTCATAACTTACACAGAATAAGAATGATTTGGTATTTTTAACCATGCAAAGGATTAATACACAAAAAAATACACAAGTTCTGCTCAGATTTTTACCACCCAGTTACTTGTTTTAGTCCCTAGTAGATGATTTCTCAAAAGAAAGAAAAGGCTTCACTTGCAGAAATGACCTTGTAGCACTAAAAATTTAGGTTTGCCAACCCAGCACAGGGGATGCAACATGGAACAGCAGTTCTCTGCACCACACAAGAATCTGAGAAACAAACTGTGGAAAATTGATTGCCACAATAGATGGTGTTGGTCCTTTCTTGACTTCCGCATACTGGAACAAAAAATTGCAACTAGGGGTGTACTAGTGCAGTGATGGAACTCTCATCAATTTCTCCTGCAAATCCTCATACCAAAAATTTAAAAAGAGGCTGAATTCAACCAAGAGAAAATGAAGAGCTAAATGCTGAACATTTCAGACAACTGCAACTTTTTTTTTTTTTTTTTTTTTAATTTACATTCTTCCCTTTCCAAACCTTACACACTGGATCCACCCCCACAAAGAGAAATGTCCCATATTGTCCTGTTGAAGTGAGGTCTGTCTGGAGCTCTCATAGACAGAACCCCAGAGCTGTGAGGTTCCAGTTGCTCTCAGTGCCTGCCTGGAAAGCTCCTTCCTTGACCCCATCTCCTGTTGCTCACCAAGGAAACTCCAGGCACAGACACACAAGAAGTGGCTTTCACCAGTGGCTTTCACCAGTTGGATCTCAATGCAGGTTGATTTTCCAGAGAAGGAAGAACCTCCAGTAAATTAAAGAAATGGCAGAGCAACTCCTGTGGAACTTGCCTTTAGCAGCAGATAAGGAAACAGAACTACACAATAACTTTTATTTAATAACTACAATAACTAACAATAACTACGCTATAACTTTTAAGGGGTCTGCTCACTATTTTCTCTTCAAATGAAAAACCTGCTTCTGACCATAAGGTCCATGTACTGGATAATAACATACTTTTGTGTTGACTGGCACTTAGAGGTTGTGTGTTCACTACATTTTCAGTTTAACATATCTTCCTCTGTGCCTGTCTGCAAGGGGCACTACAGAAAATAACAATCCAAATGCAGATTATTTTTGCTAAACACTTAAGTAGAAGCAGCTCCTTTAATTAACAGAAGAAATGGTCCTATAGGTCTCTATAGGACCCCATTTGGCTGTGGAAATAATCTCCTCATGTTCAGAGTGCTGAAGTAAAGGAAATTTATTTAGAGTGTATTTTACAGCTTTTTTCTTTACTCTCATGAACTCAAAATGTGTTATCTCTGTTTTCGGTGTGACAGACTGGTATTTAATCTACCTCACAAGACTGCAAATCCTTTTGTAAATAAAAAGAATTCAGACTGGATGCAACCATTATGCAGGAATGATTCAGATATTTGATTTTGCCTAAAGGGAAATGATGCTCATGGGCTATAAAAGGTGGAGGAAATTTAGTGGTGCTCTCTCTCAGAGTCCTGGCAAGACTTCCCTCTAACACAACACAATCCAGGGAAGATATTGAAGTGATTCTGCTTCAAGTGTAGAAGGAAGAGACCTTTTTTGTAATTTACTGAATGGGAAAATATTTACTGTTTCGCATTTTGCACCTTCATGCTAGGAAGAGAACAGCCATTATTTTGATCATTTCAGTGTAAAGTTTTGAGGATATGATTAGGTTTGAAATGGAAGTATTTATTTTTCATTTTGTCACTGCTTTTTATTCTGTTTAAGCAAATAATTGTCAGTTTACAAATACTGAAGAGAAAATCTAAGCCCAGGACACTGGCTGTTGAAGAGACAGGCTTTCTGTACAGGTTACCCATAGTCTTGGAAAACTTTTGTGGGCAAAGCTCTTGCTGCCACTGATACACAGGAAAATGGTGTGGTTTCTTTAATGATGAAAAAACAGACTCTGGACCTCCAGTAAAGGAACAGTTCTGCTGCTTTCAGTTTTTACACTATAACTTTCGGTAGATGCAAGCCTTTTAGATTGGGGTCAAACCTCCTTGACTATTATGAGTTGAGTTCAAAGTAAGTCAAGTTGGCCTCACCATACCCATGCTTCTCCACCTGGAAGCTGCAGTCCAGGATTTTGGTGGCAGCTGTGTGAGAAACCTGCCCATAGCCCGGAATGATTGTTTGCCAGATATCGTGTCTGCTGGCATTAGTGTGCAGCCTTGTGCAAAAACTCCTGGAAAGGCATTTACTGAGTTCCACTGTTGCAAAGGAATGTAACAGGAAACAGGTTATACCTTCAGTCATCTTGGTCAGGCAGATGGTTGGACTCTGTTTGCTGTCAGACTCTTACAAACTGATATATGTTACTAATCTAAGTGTATTGATATGAGAACACATATTAGACACTACATCATGCCAAAGAAAAGTTTCCTACAATGCTAGAATTCCGTGTGCTTTTGGCTTTTGCATCCCATTACTGTTCTCTCCATCACCAGAAGTGAGATACATCACCCCTGATAAAGCCTGTTCTGGGCTCTGTGAGCAGTTATCATGCTTCCTTGACTGCTGACAGTGAGAAATACTTCAGCTAAAATTTGAATACACTATTGGAATTAAAATTTACAAAGTAAGTAAAAGAGACTTTGAGATCCAAGATATGCTGCAAGACTTTACCTGGAGAGTTTGCAGAGTTTAATGCTGGAGAGCTGGTTAGAGTCTTTAAGCTCTCTCTTATTTATTTGTAACAGTGTAAACTGAGGAAAACAATAGGTTGGAGTTTTTCACAATTTATTTACAGGAAAGCAAAGTAGAGCAGCAACTATTTAAGTGACTATTTTATTCAAATGTAACTCAGAAGTTACACATTCCTTGTTTACAAATGTTCTTCTTCTGTTCCCTAAGAAACTCTGTGTGTGCTAACACTCCTTCTCTCCAGACTCTGCATTCTATAGAAGATTTTCAAAATAATTAGTTAATTTTCAAAACTTGCATAGACACATAGGTCAAGCCATCATGTGTAGCTGGAGAGATATATACTGGAATGAATCTTACATGCATAAACTTCCAATTCCTTTATTTTTCAAGGTTTATTACTTTTTCTAAATATGTTTAGAAAAAGTATATGTATAGTTTATATAAATATTGTATATACATGCGCAGATTGCTCATTCCTTAAAAGAGATTTTTACTACTCACAAAAAAACTGGCAGACAGACAAAAAAAAATATCTGCAGTCACTTATTTTGGAGTGGATTTTTATATTCTGAATTTAAGTCTGCTGCATGCTAGACTGATGTCCAGTTGCGTATGTGCCACTGAGTATGGACTGTTCTTTCTCACTGAGGTAGGAAACTTGGCACGTATGGTTTTCTCTAGAAAACACCAGTGTCTTCAGGCCAAATGAGAACACCAAGAAGTCACATCATGTGCTACCCTGAGGAGTCTTGTCATTAAAGTAAATTGCATGGTATGAATTAGCAACGGAATGAAATTGGCTGATTACAGCTCTAACCCTCATATTTCAAAGATATTCAAATATCTTTTTCCTTAACTACTGAATCATTTACACCAGAGAGATCATGAGAAATCTGGTCTGAGACAGACCATAATGAATAAGAGCATGGGACCCCCTTAAAGCAGCACATCTCAAATCCTAACCAAATTTGCTCCTGAAATGGGATTAGAAGACTTAAATGATGGGCAGGAAACTATCTAAGGGTAACCAGTGGGAAACACAAGAAAAAAAAAAAGTCTAAACTCACTACTTTTCTCTTTTGTTGATGCATATTCCATATATTTGTATATACTCATATTTCAGTACTTCATATACCACTTGTTCAAGAACTGAGGGCATACTTCAAGCCCTTGTCTGAGTGTTACACACATTCATTATTTAAACCATACAGTGTTTCCTTGATGATTTCACCCACTGCTCAAAATAATTTGCGATTTCATAGCATTTTATTTATACAACAATTAATTTGATTATCATTGTTTGAATTGTAACGGTATTGTTTCATTGTAGTTAGTTTTCCTACAGCTGGGATAGTTACGTTCAGATTTTAACTGACTTTGATTTGCTAGCTTCATAAATTTTCAATAAAAGTCTAAAATCCTGCAGAGTTATTGTTTTCTTTCAAGCCTGCCAACATATGTCCACCAGTCATGGATAGTATAACCTTAGATGATAAAGTCTCTTTGTTCTCCTTATGATCTGATATTGTCTGGTCACTTTGCTTACATTGAAGTGGGGGAAAAGACTACTACAATCCTGGATATTTGAATGTGTCCTCACTGACAGATAGAGAGAGCTATTTTTTTAAATGCCCAAGTCAAATTCAAAATGGAGGAGAGTTCTATGTCAGAGGTTATTTTTATTTCACTCAGTACAGATAAAATTTAAGCTCAAAATTAATGCAGACATGCATATTCCTGCATTAGAGATGCATTGTCATTAAGAATCCTTGACTATAATTTTGGTGTCTTTGGTCTTAAGGTAAGTTGCTATTGTTGCTGTTACTGTAAAGTGCCAGGATCAGCCTTAATTGGCTTTTCCAGACAAAGCTTCGAGCTATACCCAAGTTTGGGAAATTATATTGGAATACATGAGAAGTTCAATGTGCTTTCCTTTCCTACTCATGAAAATTGAGTTAAAAATTTTAAAACATGGAGAACCATATTTCTCAAAATAACTTGACAAAAAATATTTAAATTTAAAGGATTATTGTGTTTTATTATGGTCTAACGATTAAACTTTCAAAAATGGAGGATGAACATGTAATATTACTGTGAGAGGCAGCAAACGGTGAAATCAGTAATTACCTTGGTAATTGCCTGGTTTCCCATTTTTCTTTAGCAGTCACAACAGATACATCAGTGAAGCAATTTGTCTCTTTGCTTTTCATGGCCACCTCCTCCATAGTACAGCCTAGCTTGCTGTCCAAGCTTGAGCGGTCTGGAAGTGTGGATGATGAAATCATCAGCTAGCTTTAGCAGTACCACTGGTATGAGCTCAGTTTTCATGCTGGGCAGGGAGGTCTCCACCTGAGTCCTGCAGTGAGACAGCCACAGTTTAGTGCAGTTTCTGTTGCCAGCTGTGGATGTTGGACCAAGCCAGACCAGTTTCATATCTCTCACCATCTCCCTGGCCAAGGAAGGGAAGGCCCAGGTGCATGTGAATTTCTACACAAAGTCCCCGTAGCAAGAAATGCACCCTGGGAAGAGGACCTGTTCTCCATCTACCAATCAATCTTTAATTAACCTCAGAAGGAGGAAGAAAATTGTAATTCAGGTAACCTGTTTGCAACTGTCCTAAGGCAGAAAAGCAGGCAATGCTGCTCCTTGCTTTTGTTTGTTCACCAAGAGCAGAGGTCACCCCTTCTGTGCCTCTGGAGTCCCCAGGCAGGTCAGGGCTATTCTTTGCTCCCATCACCTGAAGGACATACTGGTAAATACCAGGTCTGAATGTTGTCACACATCACATGTGGGAAATTTTCTTTTTCTCCAAAGTAAAGAGAATTTTTTATTTCTGTAAAATTAAATAGAATTACTAAGTTTACCAATGTTTGTTTTGCTTAATTTTTCTGTTTCCTATTTCAAGCATTTGTGTGAAGTTGTATTTCAAATGGACAACACACACTTCTCACAATGTAGCTTGTCTTTGAATTATTTTATTGGAAAGCATGTTGCCTGGTCATTATAAGAGAAGTAAATTGTGCCCATTGGAAAGAAGGGGGTTCATTTTAGAAATGTGTTTTTACCACTTTAAGAAAGCTTACCAAATTGCTATTTATATCTACATTTTATTCTTCTAACAATACAAAACAGAGACAATAATAAAAGCTCCTTACCTACAAATAAAGTTTAATATAGAGATATTTCAAATGCAGTGTTCTGGCTTTCAGCTGTAAGCCTATGAAAAGAAGTGAAACAATAATTAAATAAGCTCTTGAGTTGCTGACACCTGAGCCTATATTGGTTCATAATTTATCTTGAATTATGAAATAATTTCATTAGTCAGATGAAACATTAATTACACAAATAAATATTTCAGGGCTAGACTAAAAGTGAGAAATCCCATTAACTTTCTGATAAAATTGTTGATCTGTCAGTACTGGAATCTCAGCCACTGAATGAATAAACTCTTTGCTTCTCATATGCAAATATTCTCTTACTGTGATCTAATAGAATTAGAGAGGTTTTCTTACACATAGGTTTTTCAAGGTCAAAGATTAATGAGACGTTATGAAAAATATTATTAGCTAGATATGACATTTAACACACATTAATGTAATTAATCTCTTAGGACCTGTAGGTAAATTGTGATTTTTATTATACAAGGATGCATTGCAAAGTTATTTCATACATGGGGGATTTTCAAAGTCCCGCATGATGACATTGATGTAGTGCTACTACTCTGTTATAATCTTTGTATATTATTTAAGTGTAACAAATACTTCATTCACCGTCTGCCCTAAACTTTGCATTTGATGACATTCTTGCTGCTGTGTTAATATCGGGTCTATTAAGCTGGACCTCATGGTCCATTACCCTTTCTTTAGGCTTGACCCCATGAAGTTTAAGGGTCTTGAGCACAGTGTGAAAAAGCAAAGGGTTTCACTCTCACCCAAGGAACTCATTAGGACTTTATAGAAACACAAAAAATACTCACACAGTACCAACATTTGCACTGAGGGATACTCACCAGACAAACAGCCTGGTGTCAGGAGGTGCTCATTGTTCCCTTTTTCCAGGCCTGCACACCAATTTAGCAGACTAACTAAAGGGATCACTCATTTGTAATCCCCCATTTCAGCCTTTGTAGCGGAGATTCATTTGCCAGCATCTTTTAACTCTGCTTCCTTGAAATTCGCATTTCACTTAGGACAGTGTATTTGAAATCAGCTGGCTACTTGAAATACACTGGTTAGGATTACACTTGCCAAATGCTACAGTGGGATTTGGAGGTTGTCTTTCTTTGCTGCCTCAAGGCAAGCAAACAGTCATTCACAGTACATCTTTAAAAGATCTTTTCACAAATCATTTACTGACAGAGGGCCAGGTTCTGCTTTGTTTACCTACCTTGAATAATGCTTATTTTCTCCTAGATTTTAGCTGATTTACTGAAGGATTAAGGAGTTACAAAAGCAGCAGAAGGCTGTCAAAGTCTGACCCTAACCAAGATAAGAATAAGGAACTGCTCTCTCTTCTGCCACTTATGAAACAAATTTGCACTTCTTGGACTGGAGTCCGTCTTTGCACCTGTCTCCACAAAGTGTAAGCATCTTTGGTAAATATGCTGTGTGCTGCTAGCAGCTGATAGCACAGTTCACTATGGCTTTGGGTGCAGTATAAATATCTCCCTGTATCATCAATAGAGAATTAGAGCTTTTGCACTATTCAGTCTCTGAACACAACAACATAGGTTGTGTTTCAACCATATTTTAAACGGGTTTTCTTTTATATTTAAGACTCAGACATGAAACCCCAAAGTTCTGATGTTTAATTCATTCTCATTTTTTGAAAATTGATGCTCATTGCCTTGAGCTGTGCCTTGGTGCTCTAACACAATTCCACAGGGCTGCAGTGGCCAGCTGTCTGGGTGGCAACCTTTGGTATACTTTTCAAAATTTCCACACTTCCCATAAACACAGGAACAACAGATTTGGAGACCAAAGGGACTCCCTTTGCACCAAATCCAAAGGGATTTATGTTTGTTTTCAGGCAAACAGGAAAAAATGTGTAGATAATTTTTCTGGCAAAGATTCCTTTTAATATTTCACAATAAGGTATCTTTACATCAGGAGAAGCTGTTTATCATCCTAGCCATTTCTCAAATTCTCTGTTGCTCTAAGAAAGAGCAACAGACATTAAAATAACTACAGCTTTGTGTTTGGCCATGTGTGAAATCTGAAGTAGGGATATTGTTGTTCACACATAAATGGCATTTAGGTGAGTACTCCTACTATTTCCTTATGTTGATATACATTACACTATGAAATCAGTGGAGAAACATACAGCAAGAATTTGTTAATTAAACAGAAACAGAAAAGTAGTATGCATGACATCTGTATATTTTGGTTATGAGCAAAACAAGTTTTGTTAGAACCTATTTAATTTTTCTACTTCAGAAAGAGCTAGCATGTAAGTCAATTTGGTGCCATCAGTAGATATGATGTAAAATAAATACAAAACAGTCTGTTAAGGAAATATCATATCCCTTCAGAATCACCAGAATGGATTTGGGTCACTGTTATAGTTCAGAAATGCTGTACACTTGCTGACAAATAAGTTCACAGTTAATTCTTGGTAAATGAGCCCTGCCTGGAGCATTAGGTGGGATTTATCCACTACTACAGCCTAGCATAGAAAAGCTTGTGTCCTGCTTGTTTGTCAGCCATTACAAAGCTAAGTCCCCAAATCTCCATGGTCACAGTTTGGTTACTTTTTAGTTGCTATGACATCTCTATGTCGGCATAGAGATGGGTCGAGGTTTCTTGACCCACAAATTTACATTTCTGGGAGTTTCCTAGCCCCATCCCACAAAAGTTTCATCTGTTTAGTCTTAAGTAAAATAGTGAATATAATTTTGAAAGTGATTACAGGAGGAGATTAAGAGGCCGATGAAAAAATCTGCACCTCATTTGAAGGCAATCCAAAAGCTAAATGGAAATGTAAAAAAGGAAAGGTATCACTGGTCATCTGAAATGACGGTGAACATGCAGTGAAAATAGTGATTTTTTGAAGATAGCAGCCACCTACACCTTTTCAGTAGCTTTAACAAGTGGCAGGGCCAAAGGACAAAGCACGAAACCAGCTAACAGCAATTCCACCATAGCCCCTAACAACAGCTGTTCAAAATGAGACATGTGAAGACTCATACTGTCTTAATTGCAAAGTCACTGAGTTTATCTTAACAGCTTTTCAAAGATAATTAAACTGATCTGATACTGCTGATATTTGGATTCAGGAAGTTGCAGAGCCAGTTACACAATCGATTTTGGCATCTCTGCTTTGAGGATACAGAGATGGGGGCTTGAAGGAGCAGAGGCATTTTAACAGTGTCATTTCTGCAGTGAATGTCTGATTGCAGCCTAGGACTTTGGCCTTTGGCCTCAAAATTTATTTAATCTGAGACACAGTCAAGACACTGCAAACAGGAAGGCTCCTGAAGCTATCACATCAATAATCTGTAATTTCACTTTGTTCTCTCACAAGCAAAACAAACAAACAAATGCAGAAGCCATTCTTCCAGCTGCTGTTGGTCTTAATTACAATGCAGAGGAAGAATTAAGTCAGCAGTTAATTGAATGGAGTCCAGTAAAAGTCATTCTTTTTAATAGTAAATGTATACTGCTTGAAAGCTTGTTAGCTAAAGAGTAGCATAAAAATCTACTCTTTAGGTCATTGACAATTTTAATATTTCCTGTATGGATTTGTTTACATTCTTAAACAGGCAGAGGCTGGGTGTAATATTATCTTTAAACATTTTTCAGGGTAGTATTTGAATCTTAGCTGAAATAATTTCTTGAAATAAGTGGTATCTTTACTTTGGGCTCTGTTGTGTTTGCCAGAACTTCATGCCCAGGTGCTGGGGCCAAGTCCTTGGCAGAGTGGGAGAAGCTAAAAAAATAGCTCTATCTGATATAACTGCTCAACTTGAAGAATTTTCTTCAGACTTACCTAAAAGTAAGTAGAAATAAGATGGGTAAGGCCAAGGCCCACCTGGAATTAAATCTGGCCAAAGATGTCAAGGACAAGAAGAGCTTCTTCAAATACACCAATAACAAAAGGAAAACAAAAGATAATGTGGGCTTTTAGTAAGTGGAGGGGAGGGCTTACTAATAGGGGACAGAGAGAAGGCCAATAGTATCCTGGGCTGCATTGGGAAGAGCACTGCCAGCAGGTCCAGGGAGGTGATCCTGCCCCTCCACTCAGCCCTGCTGAGGCACATCTAGAGTGCTGTGTCCAGTTCTGGGCTCCTCAGTGCTGGAGAGACATGGAGCTCCTGGAGTGGGTCCCACAGAGGGTGAGAGATGATCAGGGGAATGGAACATCTCTCTTATCAGGAAAGGCTCAGGGAGCTGTGCCTGTTCAGCCTTGAGAAGTGACTGAGAGGGGACTTTGTCAATGTCTATCAGGATCTGAAGGGAGAGTGTCAAGAGGATGTTTCCAGGCTCTTCTTGGTGGTGCCAAGCAATAGGACAAGAGGCAACATGAGGAAGAACTTCTTTACTGTGCAGGTGGCTGAGCACTAGAACATATTATCCAGAGAGGTTGTGGAATCTCTCTGCAGATATTCAAGATGCTTCCTGGATACCATTCTGTGCAATGTGTTCCAGGATGACCCTGCTTGAGCAGGGAGGTTGGATAAATGATCCACTGTGGTCCCTTCCAATTTTATCCATTCTGTGATTCTGTGAAATTGAGGATTCTAAGCACTCTCAGTGAATAGTTATAATGTATCTGTGGCTAAATATAACTCATACTGACTTTTATGTCTGCATGTACAGCTCTTTGTACAATGGACCATGACTAACCAATCTCTAGACCTTCCAATTATAGTAACACCAGAAATGTAAAAGTAATAGAGTATAGTAAGACTAATATAACAACAGTACTTAGGATAACTAATAGGACAACCAGAAGAGGTATAAAATAAATTGATGATTTCCAGTATTAATTTTGTAAAAAATAAACCAGATGTAGCACCTATGATACACGTGTAGCACCAATCATACATGAAATTCAACAGAACCTCAAAAATTTGTATGGTGTCATTTAATCATATAAGAGCAGTAGATAGTCTAGCGTGGTATGAAATAGCAAAAATAATAAAGAAGGTAGGTTTAGTTGAGAACAAAGAAAAGGATGATTACATGACATTTGAAGAGAAGAAATTAGTGCATGAGG